CGACTTCGCGCCGACGGCCTTCGCGGCGGCGGCCGTCTGCCGGGCCTGCGCCGGTTCGGCGCGGCGCCTCGAGGCCGTCGACGCCTGCGCGCGCGCGAGCGACTGGGCCGAGGCCGCGGCGGCGGAGCCGCGCGGGGACGTCGCCGCGCAGCGCGTCGCGCTCTACGCCGCGCTCGGCCGCTACGGCGCCGCGGAGGCGCTCGCGGACGCCGCGGGCCCGTCGCTCCGGGTGCTGCGCTGCGGCGCGGCCCACGCGGGCGCCGCGAAGGACGCGCCGCCGGCGCCGTACCTCCGGGGCGTGCTCGACCGCGTCGGCGCCGCGCGCGCGGGCTCGCGGCGCCGGCGGCGCGACGCGGCCCAGGTCGTCACGGAGTGCCTCCGGGCCTGCCGGCGCTACGCGCGGCGCGCGCGGCGCGGCGGCGGCGGCGGCGACGCCGCCGCGCTCGCGGACGTCGCGGACTTCGCGGCGGCCGCGCCGGCGGCGGCCGCGGCGGGCGTGCCGGGCCTGCGCGCGCCGCTGCTGCGGTCCGACGGCGGGGCCGCGGCCATCGAGGCCCTGCTCGCGCTCGGCCGGCGGGGCGACGCGCTCGACGTGCTCGACGGCATGCGGACGCGGCGGCCGGGCTACCCGCGGGCGGCGGAGCCGGCGTTCGCCGCGGTGCTCCGCGACCTCGCGCTCGACGGCGCCTCGGGCCACGCCTTCGAGGACGTCTTCCTCGCCATGGCCAACGACGGCCTCGCGCCGACGGCGGCGAGCCTCGACGCGCTCCTCGCGGCGCCGGGCCACCCGGTCCACGTGTCCATCGTCCAGCGGCTCTTCAACCAGCACGGCGCGCGGCCGTCCGTCGACCTCTTCCTGGAGAACGTGTTGGGCTTCCACCTGGAGAACGGCGACGACGACGAGGCGCGGCGCGCGGCCTACGTCCTCGACCAGCTCTGGCCCCTCGACGGCGACGACGCGCCGCTCTCGCGGGACGCGCTCGCCGCGGCCTTCGAGGAGCGGGGGAGCGCGTTCTTCTAGGCGTCCTTAGTCCGGCCGAGGAGGCTCGCCAGCTCGTAGGGCGATGCGCCACTTGACGCGCCGCGCCGCGCCATGCCGTGCTTCGATCCGCCCGCGACCTGGGCCGCGTCGACGACCTCCGGCGGCGACCGCGGTGCGCCCTCGGCCGCCTCGAAGGACGACACGCGCGGCGGCGCGGCGGCGCCGTCGTCGCCAAAGTCCGCGCGGGCCGCGTCGATGGCCGCGCAGATGTCGTCGAACGTCGGCCGCGCCTCCGGCTCGGGCGCCCACGCCGCGGGCAGCAGCGATACGAGCGCCGGCGGCGCGCCGCGGTCCTCGCAGGGCTTCAACGCCGGCCGGTGGTGCTTCTCGGCGACGGACACGGCGAAGAAGGGCACGTTCTGCCCGAACTCGTCAAAGGGCGACCCGTGCCACGCGAGCAGCTGCCACAGCAGAATGGCAAAGGAGTAGACGTCCGCGGCGAAGGAGTAGGGCCGGTCGCAGAGCACCTCCGGCGCCATCCAGCGCAGCGTGCCCGTCACGCCCGTGTGCGCGTGGCGCTCGATCGTGGCGCCGTCCTCGTGGCCCGACACGCAGCAGAGCCCAAAGTCCGACACCTTGGCGACGCCCGATGCGTCCAAAAGCACGTTCGCGGGCTTGAGGTCGCGGTGGAGCAGCCCGAGGCCGTGGAGGTGCGCCATGCCGTTGGCGACGCCGTCCGCGAGCGCGAGCGCGACGTCGTCGACGGTGTCCAGCGCCGCCGGCGCCCTGAGGAGCGCGTCCAAACTGCCGCCGGGCAGGAACTCGAGGACGACGCCGCGCGCCTCGAACTCGGGGCAGTCGAAGACGCCGAAGAAGGTGACGATGTTCGGGTGGTCGACGCGGCGGAGCGCGGCGACCTCCCGGTCGAAGTCGGACCGCCACTGCTTCGGCGTCATCGTGACGCCGATGCCCGCGGCCTTTTGTTTCGCGTCCTCGAAGACGAGCTTCACGGCGACGTCGTGGGTGCCCTTGTAGAGGCCCCGGCGCACGGTGCCCGACGCGCCGGAGCCGACGGTCTCCCGGAGCTCCACGGCCTCGGCGTCGAAGTGGCCGCCGCCGCACTTCTCGAGGCCCGGCGTCGTATTCCGCGGCCGGCCGACGACGACGCTCCGGGGCGCC